GAAAGAAAGAGAAAAGAGAAAGAAAGAAAGAAAAGAAAGAAAGAAAGAAAAAATGCATCAGTATGTTTGAGGAAGAAATAAAGGCAAGGTCATTTTTGTGGCATTTGCGAAACCCCTGTCCTTAGGACCTCAGTGCCACCCGGCTGTGAGGCGCTTCCGGATACCTACGTTCATTCATTCTCCTGTTGCACTGCTTTGTATATTGTGATGCTGCAGTCATTTTGCAAGATCCAACTAATACTGTCTGTTTTTGTAATGTTACAGTTTATGATATGGCAAAATTATTTGACAAGTGTGGGACACAAAAAAGGATGCTGTTTTAGCCGTAATAAACGTTTAAAAAACCATACAGCCCACTTAATCATGCAGTTTCTAGTATTCAGACCAAATTTGTAACACTTGCAGATGGAAGGATGTGAAGACAAGCTGAGAGCCTTGCACCGATACAGGAGCAAAGCAGTCTCGTTTCTACTCCCTCTCGCTTAAAAGATTTAGCTTCATATTTTAGTATTTGTTTTAAGTCAACGACTTTTGCATATGTTTAAGATCTTCACTCTTCACAAAATTATGCTTTAGATATAAAAATAAGGAAATTAAAACAGGTAATGGGGGGCTAATTTGGTTGTGCTGATTAACAATCTTAACTACCAAAGCATCTTGTTACATTCTTTAAATACACACACTTCTACTGATCAATATTTCAATAGAGCTGTGAAAGAAAGAAAGAAAGAAAGAAAGAAAGAAAGAAAGAAAGAAAGAAAGAAAGAAAGAAAGAAAGAGCCTCATTTAGGTGTAATGGAAGGCACTATACTAATTGCCCAAATAAGAAACTAGTCACTGACTGTGTGAGATTAAGATTGGAGTCATATTTCCTAAATTATCTGCTTTATGAAGTTCTCTAATGTAGCTCTGGATTGGAGGTAATTTATATTCACATCTTTTAAACATTATTTTGAAACTTACTTCGGTTTTATTTTGTTACTAGGTAATGTGGATTTTTATGAGCGGTTCTAAATATTTTCTGGAGGAAGAGAGGATTAAAATAGGTAAATTCAGAAGTAGAATACAGATTTGTCCTCTCAGGTATGAGTCAGCTATATCTCTTTTTCTGATAGAACTAGACTCTTTCTAACTGTCTAGCCAATGACCAGCATTTATAGCACCCCAATTGTGGAATACATTTTAAGAAAACAACAGATTCTTTTCACTGTTTTGGCCTAAAGAGTTCTTGTGATGGTAGTTGATGGTATTAATTGAAGCACTCACTCCCTCAGTGCTTCAAAGACAGGCTGTGTCCTTTTTCTTTTTTTTTAATGTCCTTTTTCTACTGTCAGTTCCTTTTTGAAGCTAAAATCAAGTTTTTATTCATTTTATTGTGTTAATTTGTTTTTAAGACCCCCATGAAAATAGAAATCATAGGAATTTTTGCTGCCAAGTTACACTGTTCTAGCATAGAATTTTTCTTACCAAAAAGTTGCTTGGCTTTTGAAAATCTCAAAATTTAGGGCCAGCCAGATAGCTCAGAGGACTAAAGCACCTGTGCAGCGGCCAGGGTTCCATCCCCAGCGTGCTGTGCCGGCCCGTCCCCAGGGGGCGCGCTGAGACCGAGATTGAGACTGGGCGTGGTGGCGCGTGCCTGCAATCCCAGCGCTTGGGAGGCTGAAAACAGGAGGATCACTACGATTCCGATCTGTGTAGTGAGACCCATAAACCCTGTACTAAATGCAATAAGTAAAGAAATAAGTAAATTTTTTTAAGAAAGATAAGAAAATCCCAAAATTTGTTTGCTCTGAGGCCACCGCTGCCTGGGCTGTCTTTTCAGCAGCTCCGTCCAGTGCACGCTGCGACCATCCGGGTGCGCTGTTTACTCATGCTCTTATTTTCCCTGTTGTCACTGCTCCAGGTCTACAGCATCATGACAAGAGCAAGGAATCTCCGTGGTACTGAAACAGTATTAGCGAGTCAAGTTGCTGCCTGAACCCAGGACCCACGGGGAAGTTTACTGCTAGGATTTTCCTGTCTGCTGAGGAGACACAAGTTACACAGAAGAAGAGGACAAAGCAGGCGCTTGACTTTGGTTTTGAAACTTATCTGGAGAAAGCAAAGTGGGTCCTCATCATTGAAGAAAATCATTTTTGTTCATTTTTCCCCTCATCTGAGCCTTCGCCAACTATGTGACTTTCTTTTTTACTGTTTGCCTTTACCAGCACATGGGTTAATGTTTGTTTCGTTTTTACTTTTTATAGTTTTCTTTTGGAACCAGCCATCAATGTCAGGAAAAGATGAACCGCAAATGGAAGTGCTTATTCTTTCAGGAATAAAATTTTGTAGCTCTCTGTGTGTCTATTTTTGTAGAAATACAGAAAGTTTGGCTTAGCATTGATGGGCTATTTTTGAGGGATGTACTTTTTTAATATTGTAAAAATTGTTGAGTTCTGTTTCAAGAACTTGCTCTCCAAGAAGCACTGGCAACGTGTTTAAAAAATGCTTATTTTGAAAATGTCTGCGGTACGCTCGTGTGTGCTTTCTAGGTTACCTCAAGTGTGTGCTATTTTCTCTATAAAAATAGCTATCCCATAGCAAACCAATTCAGTATTGTTCACTAAATCTCAGTGGTGGTTTAATTCCATTTAGCTCACTTAGTTTTGACTTACATGGCTAGCTTGGGAAGGAAAAATTTAAGGGCCACACTAAAGGATGTCTCATGACTTCGATTCTCACAGAGAGTATTTGGAGGCTGTGGGGAACCTTTGCATTGACTTAATGAGATGAAGAGTTTGCCTGGAATATTTCTCTTTTTAGTTCATCTTTGATCAATGGAACCAGAGTTTATATAAAACTACTGTACTTAAATGTGTTTAATCGCACTACCTGTGAGTGCCAGTGGGTTATTCTACTTGTTTGTAATTATTCATTCATAAAAGTTTCAAAGTTATGGTTTTATTTTTCAAAGAGAATTTTTTTCTTGGAGAATTTGAAAGAATAAGATCTGAAAAGGTACTAGACATATATAAAAAAGAAACTGGCTGTTTCTGATAATATCACTCATCATTGTAAAATGAAAAATAATGTATTGTACATGTAACCTTTTAAACATAGTATTTTGCAAACAATTTTATTTCATCCACTGTTTTGGTATAAATCTAGTTTTCTTTTAATCATTTAAAGTATTTTAGGTCAAAATTAAATTTGTGTTGGCATTTAAACTTCTCTTACATTTACTGGAGTTGGGCTAAAACTTAACAGTTATGGTCTCAACTTTACATGGCCTTAGGGTTTAAATAAAGTTGCTTAAATTGATAACGTAAAGGCCTTCAAGATAAGGTACATTGCTTCTTTCACCTGCATGTGTCATGTATAAAGTTAGTGTACTATAGCTCTTTGACTTGGATAAAAGGAGTTTCTCGGAGTTCTCCGGTTCTTTTCCACACATCTAACACAGAATATTCAGTGAAATGCTGCTCTTCAACTTTAATTGTGAACATCATTTGCATGAATATTAGACAAGAACAGGATAACATTCCTAGGCAGTGTGCACAGGTAATTTTTGAATGTTATACTTTTCTATATCTTATGCATTACCTTTTTACATTGCATCCAGCAAATTATAGATTATATCCTTCTGTATTTTTGTCAACCTATACTTTGGTTCTTCTTAGCTAGAATTTCTTAAACAAAATGTGTACACTTTTAAGAACGTGGGGTTCAAATTTTCTTCCACTCAACAATGAAATTTCTAAGAACTTATTTAAATTAGGTGCATTTTTATGTATTATTTGATTTAATACAACTTATTTTTAATTTGCCCAAGTTAGTGTAACACAAAGTTTAGGAAATGTATAAAATATATTTTTATCTGGAGTTACCCTGAGTATTTGAAAGCAAGTGTCCCGTAGTTCCATGAGCTATCTCACTGGGAATTTTCGCTTCTCTTTTCCTTCCTATTAACTTTTTTTTGCAATTTCTGAGAGAACAATGTCATACTTCGTTCAGATTATTCAGTTGGATTTTCTCAGTCAAGAAGGGAATAAATATACTAACTTTTAGCTCTTTTCCTTATCTTCCTTGAAACTGGAGAGGGCACTAAAAGAGACAGAAGCGACAAGCAGTGGCTGCAGCCTTAATTCAGACTGTGTTCTCTGTCCTTTCTTGTATGTATGGAGGACAGCTCTTGGCTCTAGGGGCTTCAGAAATCCTAAAGCAGCTTAGAAGGACTGGTAAGTGAGCTTTGAGAAAGAGCCTAAATGTGGACCAAAACCTTAGCACTAAGAACATTGAGAACGGTCAGAGTCACAGAAGAGCGCTAGCTGGAATTTAGCATAATAATCTGAATTTATTTCACACTTAAAGTTATGCCACCCTGTGGATCGAGTTTTCTAATACCAAAATTATTCAGCTGGACTTGACTTGGAGGTTTCCAAATTACTTTACTGGAGGCTTCTGCTTACCTTTCTAACTTTATTTGGAGCCACTTCACAGTTGATTGTTTTACAAATTAAACCTCATTCAATCTTCTAAAGATCTGTGAATTAGTAGAAAATCTTATTTCCTCTAATTTATGCTTCCAGCATTCAACTAGCAGGAACTAAAGAACAACATAAATGCTGGCAAATTAGAATCCTAAAGAGGATGATTCATTTTCATTGTTAATTCTCATGAAACATCAATACTTTTAAAAGACAGTATGTTTTCTTAAGAATGTTAACCAAATTCTGTTTACTTTTTCTGGTAATTTTTTTTCTTTTCTCTTTTTAAGGTTATTTATATTTTGTTTCACAAAATTGACCAGAATTGCTCTAAGATTTACAAACTGATAGCCATTATAGTACACATAATTGAGGAATTGATTTTTCTAACTTTGTAACATTTAACAAAAAAATTCTAGGCACTAGCACAAAAAAATGCCCCTAAAAAGAACTCAATGTTTCTTATGCAAATAACATCTGCTCATTTGTAGTCTAAAATTTGATGAACATGGAAGAATCTATGTTTGAATTTACTTTCTGGGTTAATGCTGTATTTCTAATTTAAAGCAAAACTACATTTTCAGAGCTTGTGTTCTACCCTTGACTGAGTGAGTGTTCCAAAGAGTATTTGCTGAATTAAGCCAGCAGGAACAGTAGGGAAAAAAGTTCATAAGCAGAGTGTATGTGTTAGACTTTTGACTAGGAGATGTATAGGGAAACAGAATAAATTGATGTGAAGAGGAAGGAAACCTTTCTCAGAATTCTAGATTAAATACAATTTGATGTGCAATTTGGGTCTTTACCCCATGTGGAAAACAGAATAATAAAGTGTCATGGGCAGGTTGAGGAAGTTGAAGATCACATGTGTATGCATGTGAGTGTGTGTGTGTGTGTGTGTGTGTGTGTGTGAGAGAGAGAGAGAGAGAGAGAGAGAGAGAGAGAGAGAGAGAGAGCTGGAGCTTCTGAATGTCTCAGTATCTTCATTTTTCCATAGTCATGTCTCCAGCAACCAAATGGACACACAACTGCTTTACCATAAGAAATCACTGCTGAATGGTTATTCTCATACTAGAAGTCAGAGAGCAAATATAAGTTTCTTTATGTGCTCTACCTTTTATGTCATTCCTGAAGGAAAATGACTTTTTTTTTAAGATGTGTAGGCCCGATTCATAGCTTTCCTACTTAGCTCAATTAAAGCTATATTCACCCCTCTGCATTATTGCCTCGCTGTTTCAGGGTACAGTGCCATTACATGACCAAAGCTTGTGTTCTTGGTAATATGTTGGGCTTCTTCAGCACCTGGAGTAAGAGCATATCTTTTCACATTAACCTTTTCAGGTT